TTCTGTAAAATAGCAGGTTAACCCCATGATATAGGGAAGTCTGAAGTCTTTATACTCTCATTATCAAAGGAAGATAGGCCACTATTGCCCATTTTTACAAATGCTGACTCAGAGAATAAGTAAGGCCTTGGCAAAGTGAAATCTTTTGGTTCTGGTAATCAAGGGCAGTGTCATGGGCAGTAAAATGAGCCACAACTCCTTGCAAAGTCGTATCAGGACAAGCTGAGCCCTACCAAACAGTAGTGCGCCGCTGCTGCTGCTGCTTGTAACAAGTGAACAAACCAAAACACTACCAGCAGAAAATCAATCTACAATAAAAAGCCTCTTACTTTGGAGCAGCTTGTAACAGTGGGGAACAAGGAAATGGTGTAATTCTCTAGAATTCTATATTTACTAGCCAAGTAAAGCTGGATCTTACAAGTGTTTACTCAGAAACATACTCAACTGTGCTCAGCAGGGTCTAATCTTTAACCTGGTGTGCATAGTATGACAGGATTCAACTTGATGCTATGTTTACTTTGAAGCAAGTCTGTTTTGTTTATTTCAATAGGATTTACTCCCCAGATATGTTTAGGAGCTGTGTCAGGCTGATCATATGTTTATGGAGAATAGATTCTACTGAGTTCAGGTGTGACTTATTCACAAGCAAGTATACATAGAACTGCATTATTACAACACAATTTTATGAAAGTTTATTCAGAAGAAATCCCTACAGCGTTCAATGGGGCATGCATCCAGGTAAGTAAGCATAAAGTTGCAGGATCAGTTCTGTAACAAAATGTGCCAGGCAGTTGTCACCTGAGGTTGAGTTAATCTCTGTCCTGTGAAAAACAAACAGTTCTCTCCTCCTTTTTAAATTTCTGAATTACAAGATATAATTGGCATTTTGCCAATGTGGATTAAAAAGCAAGATTTCTATCGCAGTTAACTGGTGCACATAAAGACAGTGCTTCAATTAAGTTGGATTCACAAATCCCACTCCCATTTCCCCTGGGGCTGTGTGATCATGCCCTAATAACCTTCTACAACTGGCAGAAAAGGGGACTATCATAGACATGAAGGGAGCTGAGTCTCTTCTGCTCCAGCCCCCAGCAGTGATTAGAAGCTGGGTGGCCTTTTCTTGCTTTCTGCCATATTATGAAGAGCTGCAAGGTTGCAAACCTTGGCCATGCTGATCCATGGAAAATATTTTGTGCTATGCAAGCAGTCATCCAAGGTAAACACATCCACAGTATATCTTTCCTTTACGAAAATGAACGTGTTAATAATTTGACATGGGTTTTGTTTCATGATCACATTATCAAAACGTCTGTGACCTAGACATTCATCTGCCAGGCAATCTGGAGAAAACTGGTTCTGTAAGGGTTACATTACCATTGTTCTTTGCAAATAAAATTCACATCTGTTCTGACAACTTATTTCAGCCTGATGCAACTTGAAAAGGTCGAGATTAATCCCAGAAAATCAGAGTTCTATTGGAAAGGCCAAATCAACTTTAATTGTAACACATTGCTATTTATATTGACATTTAGTCACAGTAGAGCATTATTCTTTCACTGCTGATGTTTGACTTTGGAATCTCTGTGATTGCTTAGTCTTGATGTGAAACTGTGTTTTACATTGCGTAACTTCAACAAACTATGGATCTTAGTTTCACTGACCCATGACATAATGGATATGTTTATTAATGACCTGCATGTGACTCTTAAACACTGTGTGCTGGTATTGCATTAATTTTACCAATGTTTAACTGTGTTTAACTTTACCACTGAGACAAACTGCAGATCTAAGAATAAAGCAGATGTCTGGGATCCAAACATGGTTGTATAAGCTATAGGCTTATTTTTTCCTTGTCTCTTGGCAAGCTGTGTAATCCAATGCATACTTACATGGACATAAGTCCCTCAGTATCTAATGAGGCTTGATTCCAGGGAAGGATACATAGGATTTTCAAAAGTAGCTTGTAGGAAGATGTTTGCATGTGCATGTGAGAAGCCCTAGCAAATAGCAAATAAATGCTAATCATTGCAAAATTAATCTCTCTTTTTTTGTCCAGCAGTGCAATGATTGCTTGGCTTCAAGTAAGCCTTGTTAGGTATTCTGCAAGAGATTGTAGGGGTTTTATTTGCATGTTGTCCTTTGTATTTTACAACTCAATTTGTATGTTTTCAGACCTCTTTTCCATTGTAGTATATTGTGAAGGAAAAATGTGGTTGCTGTTGATATACATTTATGCTGATGTGCCTTAGGCAGTAGGTTGCATTCAGCAACCAAGTCTCAGACCAAAATGTTACCAGCAGTTTGAGGAATTTTCTAGTTTTATAGAAGGACTACATTTCACTTCCAATTTAGCATCCTCAGGGCACCATTCAATCTAATGCCTGAAACTCAGAGGATTATAGGCATCCTTTGGAAGATGTAAGGAGCATGGAGAAGGTCCTAACGCTGAGGCACTGCTGGAAAACCATGCTGGCAGTACCATCTTCTTCCCCTTCCTGCCTGCAAAAGCCCACCTGTGCTCTTCTGATTTCAGGGCACAGTTCTTTCCATGCTGGCAGTGTGGGTGGTGAGTTAAAGGTGCTCCAAATCCAGAGTCCCAGCTTTGACCTTGGCATGGGTGTTCAGGATTGGAACTGGGACTCCAAACTATGCTATGGCTGTCTAGACTCTATCTTGCAGCAAATAAGCAAATAATAGATTGTGTCATGCAAGAAGATTGGATCCATGAGAAGTGATGAACTTTGATGAAACACTTTGCTACAATTGTGTGCCCCTTTTCTGCCCCTTTTTATGCCCATTCTACCACTGGAAAAATTAACTATATGTGCTGCTACATTGTTGACAGGATATTGCATGGACAGCTCCTAAATTTCATATTGTCAAGGTTAATAACACACACTGTAATTTCATCTTGATAGCTGGTTTACAAATGTCTTCTTCTGGTCAGGTGTCATTATTTTGGAAAGACCATAAAAATTCACTATGAAATAATACCCTGGAATATGTGTAAAAGGAAGAATGAGCAGGGCCATCTTAACGCATGGGCCCGATGGGCACTGGCCCGTGGGCCCCATACTAATCTGTGTATGTTAACCCTTGGAAAATTGGAAAACTTCCAAAATTAACAGTAGTTGTAGTTGTCGTAGGGGCCCCAGTACACTGCTTTGCCCGGGGCCCATAATGCTGTTAAGACGGCCCTGAGAATGAGCAGTGGCCCAGTGACAGAGGGGTTTCAAGGCTGTGATAGTGGTTAGACCATACAGGGAGAGACTGCAGCAATGGCCTTTGAAGGCTACGAGTGCCCTGGGCCACAAGTTGCTAACTCTTGCCTAAAATAAACAAACCAACAAAAGGTTTCTCTGTTGCTGCATTTATCTGCCACCATTTTTTTCTCTTGCAAGGAACCAAGGCAGCTTATGTGGTCTTTCTCCCCATTTTATCCTAGCAACCATCTTAGACTGAAAGGCTGTGACTGGCCCAAAGTCATCTGGTGAGCTTACAGGGTCTAAAACCCAGATAAAATTGTCTACTCCATTTAACTAGCAGTGTGGTATTTAGCATGAACAATGGGTAAAAAAATTGTATCCATATTTTTCATTACAGATACAGATACAAACCCTAAAATACTTAAAGATAGTATATTTGAATTAGCTGATGTGGAGATGCCCTTTTACTTCAGCCAAATAGACACTTACCTGTAAGTAATCCTTTCTGACTAGACAAGCATAGGATTTCTCTGTCAGTTTGATTTTTAAATGGCGCATGCAGGAATTAATAACTGTAGTTGATCTCTCTTGTCAGGTATACAACCACTCTTCTTTCTTCGGTGGCTATTTTGATCTTCAGTTAGCAGTCCTATTGTGAAATAGCACACCCTACTATTCTGATGACAGAGAGCTTCCACAGAACTTGGAACTTGTTCTGCAAACCAGCGATTCATGCACTGAAATAATGCCTTTTGCTCTGTGGAAGAACACTTAAAATACCTTCAAACATTGTATAGGTGTGAGCATTTAGATAGCAGTAGATATTCAAACAGTAAGACCTCTGCACACAAGCAGTTTATTTATGACATACATTTTATTGACATTAATATTTGCTTCTAGTTTGAATCTTGGTTGGCTACTAAAATTAATAAATGGTAAATGGTGACAGTACAGCCTCTCTAGAAAAGATGTTGATGATACAACACTTTTCTATCAAATCCCCTTAAAGCTGATTCCCATAAACACTAATTGCATGCTCATTTTATAGCATTAATTTGAGCTGGAAATGAAGTTTTATCATAACAGAATTAATAGAAAATTAATTAGCTAATTGTTAATGCTGGCATATTTCTAAAGTACTCAACAAAAGATAATAAACTGAATGTAATCAGAAATACCTATATGGATTCAAGACAAGAAAATTAGAACTCAGCTACAGCCACTTGAATAATCACATCTGATCTGCGTAATTTGTTAGTTATTACATGCTCAAGTGATTCAAGTTTGTACATTGCTTAATTTTATTTCAAAGCAAATGCTATACTTTTTAGGCATTTTACATTTTAAAAATTGGATTCATACAATTCTTTTCATGTGAAACAGAAGTCAATTTATTATCAATTTGATCAGTGGAAGGGTTCTAAACCTTTGCCGTGGTGAGCATCTCTGAAGACAAAAAAACTATTGTAAATGTCCTCAAATGCTGCAAGATGCTATGCCTTGCAGAGCTCATAGTCTGGAGAAAATGAGCAAAAGGAAATGAGAATGAAGAGAACAGACCTGCACAGTATATATTCTGGTGCCCATTTGGGATGAGGAGAGGGTAGACTTTAGGTAGATTCCAAAAAAGAAGAGTGCTGGCAGTTAGCACTGGATGCCCGAAGCAGGCTTCTGTCCATACTTATTAAATACATATATGGGGGAACTGAAGGTATTTAGGACACCTATTTTATTTATTTATTTATTTATTTAGCAGACTTATATCCCGCTCCATTCGCCTAAGCCTCGGGGCAGCTTACAAATAAATGATACTTATCCTGTCCTAGGTAGGCTCACTCTGATTTGAAGAATCATGGCTTGTATCATTCTGGGTCGACTTATATAATTGGTTGTTCTGAACTATCCATGGCCTAAAACGTTTGGCTTTTTTCATTCACTATTCTACTCTTAGACCAATCGGTGTTTAATAAGGAAGCACTGAAGTTACCATTTTTGCTACTTCCTACTTATAAAGTTAATGACATAGCCCTTTTTGCCTTCATAACTGAAGCATTTTTGGTTACTTTACGTTTTGGTTTTCCATTATAATTCTACTTCACTTTTGGGAAGATGTTTTTGAACATCAAAGGCATTCTTTCACAAAGTGGTTATACAGGCAGTGGATTACATGGAGCTGCATAGATGCAGAGACTTCTCTGCTTTTCTCTGCAAGCAGAGGAATGATGTGTGCCTGTAACACAAACCATGTGCATGTGCAGAAAGCTTCCCTTCACAGAAGAGAATGGGGAAGGCCCTGTGCACATCAGACATTTGATGTATTTTAGGTACTTTAATTAAACATCACTAATGTTATTTAAATCAAGTTACTCGAAAAGCATTTGACCAGAGCAAGAGGGATTCAGCTCCCCTCTCTTTTTTTTCCCTTTTGGTTTTAGATCAACATATGGAGTGCAGAATAAATGCTGATTATCTTTGTTTTTTGCCAGATAAAGCTAATTTGGCTTTATTCATATCACTGTAAAAACTCATAGTATTCACACCAGCAGCAAATACATTGATGCCAACAAAAGTAGTTTAAAAAATCCTCCTTAAGATGCTAACCAATTTACTTACAAACACCTATATTTATTATTTCATAAATAGGCGCAACAGCTTCCATAAAAAAAGATTAAATACAGACACAGTATGAAGAAACAATAATACATAGCCATATGTAAAGGTTATAATTTAGCTGTTTCCAATCTGTTACTGCATCTAATAAAATATCAAGAAAGCATTTGGCAGTTTTATACATAAGAGGACGTAAATGATGTTTACTAACTGTTACACATAAAGTGATAAAAAAGCAGTTTTAGGCAGTACAAAATAAATGTGTTTGCTCTTTTCCCAACGCTAGACTTTTTTTGTATAACTAATGACACAAAGCCAATTTCCACTTAATTAAATTCATCTGGGAATAGTTTTCCCTTTTTTCTTTCAAAGAGTTTGAAAATATAGAACTATTAGTCAGTTGCTTAAAAATGAAGTAAAAATATGAATGTTCGCCAATTTAACCCCCTTTGTGAAATCAATAAACTGGAATGAGCCAGTTTCAAATTACAAGTAGCTACAAAAACATTCACATTTTATACTCTAGGAGAGTGTAACATAGATGCTATTTACAAACTTGCTATGACTGCTACATCAAGCCATTTAAAAAGTCTTTAGTAGTTTCATATAAACACCCATTATGAAAACCAATGGAAAATCCAGGACTTATATCCAAGACATCTACAGTTGCTAAGGCAGTTACTAGCGCAGCACTTCACAGCAAAAATAAAAACCAACATAAAATCTGAATGGTCCAAGCCTCCTTCCTTAAGGAAAGAAGAAAAGCAATGTCCATTAAAGGATGTTGAAGGAGGAAGAAAAAGAAAGGAGGGGTGGAGGAAGGAGCAAGACTACTTTTTCCCAGAGTGAATGACCCACCAGCTCAAATAAGTCCTAAGTGCTTAGCAACTTATAATTTCTAAATAAATGCAGAACTGCCTTGACCATGTAAAGCAATCCAGGATGAAAAGACTTCCCTGCATTCCTCAGTGGAAAGAAGAGGCGCTTTACTGAGACATTTTCAGGTAAGGTACAATGCTTTGTCCCTCTGCATTGCCCTGTTTGGGAAGAAATATGGGGATGGGGGGGGGGGGACAGGAGAACAACACTAATTGTTAATATTCCAAAGTAATACATTTGAAAATCAGTGTTTTTATATCTCACACTCAAATATAACATGTGTACAGCTGAAATTTCCTCTGACCTTTGGTGGAAGTTTTATTTCTGTTCTGCTTGTGCAAAAAGTTCACAACTCTGTAAAGTCATTATCAGAGATAATGAAATATTATGAATGTACTAGCAGTAAAGTTGCAATTCTTGGCTGCAGAGAAAGTATGTTTCTCCCAGGTCTCCCAGCTGCTACTGAATACTAGGCAGAACAGGGTTGCAAGAGTCAATTTGATAGTGCACAGAACACCCCAAGACAGATACTTATGGAATGTATGCAGCCACGCCAAATGCCCTTCCCCTATCCCTAAACTCACTCCCAAGGGTTGAGGGATGCTCCAGAACAGTGAAGATTAGTGCTGCATTAGAAAGAAGAAATCAGTGGGAAGGATCCTCTGCACCTTAGACTGTACACAGAGATTTGGGTTTCTGATGGGTTAAATGTACAGTGGTTGGCTCCTCAGAATTTGTAATTTTCCAAAAGAAATATAAAGGTCCCAAGGAGTCCTCTCCTACATAGCTGACAAGGAATATTCTGTACACAAGGTTCAGAGTGGCAGAGCTTACTGTACGTGAAGGAGGCTTGGTACCAAAGTTCCTTAGCTTCAGATTAAGGATAGCAATCAATGCCTGGTAAGGTGTGCAGGTATATCGAACCTCAGAAAGCCTCCCCACACATCCTCATCCCCATCCCCCTCTGTCATATGGCTGCTCCATCCTACCCAAATCATAGCCTTTGAACATAAAGGCACATGGTGACTCATGAACACAAGTTGATTTAATGAAAGTATATTTGCTTGGTTAGGGCACAAGAGCATACAAAAATGGGCCCTTCTCTTAGACAGATGGAGGATTTTTTTCAGTAAAGTCAGTTAGCCTACATATTCCAGTACTATAAAACTAGAATTTTATTTAATTTTGCCTCTCCCTGTAGTAACTGTTCTTACTTAATCATGAATCAAAAACCACACCATTAAGGTGAAATGCAATTCCTATATATTTCTAAATCTTTTTCTGCTCAAGATTAATTAGCTCAAATTCTATCACAAGGCCCAAGAGCTCTATAGGCTATGTACACCCTGATTTATAGGTAAACTAGTCCATACATTATGGTCAACAAATTAATACCACCTTCTTTTGATTGGACACAATTTTCCATTTCTATTATTGATTTTATGGAAAGTTATTTGAAATTAAGTATGTGCAGCACTGCTGCCTGTGTTAAATGTTAAATAACATTCCCAATAGTAAAACATAGTTGCCCAATATATAGAGCAACTCATTACTTGCTTATTATTTTTTTCACTACAGAGTTAGTAGTAGGCAGATACATCCGAACCTTGTAATTTCTTCTTGACAGTAAGCGTAAAAAATGGATACAATATTTGCTGCCCAGCTTTTGTCATAAATATTACTTGACACAAGGTGGCATTCTTTGGCCACTCACCCATTACTGCAGTAATCATTATTCCAGTCCACACTCTGTGCTGGGGGATTTCTGCACCCTGAACGAACATACTCCATTGCTTGGGTAACAACTTGTGCAGCTGTAGATGTTGGATTGATAATATTCTGGTAATCAGGCTGGAGAGTAAAACCCTAAAACAAGAAATGAATTGAAAATAAGATTTGATCGGCCAAGTTAACCTCTTAACTGAAAGACTTGACAAAGTACCAAGTTGTATGTTTGCGTTCTTAAACTAGAAGCATAAGGAAAAATAGAAGGATGCTTGTGCTGTTTCAAACAATAATTTTAATTGATTGAGGAGGAATGCTGGAGAACACAATGCAATCATGAACAACACTGAGACAAAGAACAGAGACATTTTAAAGCCATGAAAAACAACTCATTCAACATGGAAAAATAAAAGAAAGGTCTGTGTATTTCTTAAAGCTCGTATTTCGATTCAACTCAAGGATACACTATTAGTTAATTCCAAGAATATGCAACAGAATCTTTTTGAAGGGTGCAGGCAGCAGGTGGCTGAGTGTTTTATTAGACTACACCTATTCACAATTATTGTTCTCATACCCCTTTTATTTGGTTCAGTCACAAAAGGACCATCTGCTGCTTCTTTTATTTGCACTTCTTTCTCAACTACACACAGAAAAAAAAAACAACTAAAGCTTTTTAACAGTTGTTGGACTAATGTAGCAAAAAGCAGCACCTCTTCCCCTGCTGCCTCCAATTTGCTCTTGTTTTCAGCCAGGAGTGAGCGCGTTTAAATGTTGTTTGCCAAAATCAGCAGAGCTGATCAGATTTTCAAGAATAGTATGCATTGATTTTCCATACAGTACTTAGCTTAAATAAACAAAGACTGCACTGAATGGTTAGGAGCCCTTTATAAGTGCACTGCAATAAACCATCTAATGCCTGCCTGAAGTAAACAGGCTAGATCAGTCTAAAGAAATATACTTGCCAAATATATCAAAAGAAGATACAATACCTAAAGTAAAGGTTTAATTTGGTCGAGTACAGCCTTGGAAATGTATATTTTTGCAAAAATTTTCATTTGTCAGATATAATAAATGCCTAGTTGGAGTGAAGACGTTTCTGAATAACAGCTACAGTTAACATACATCGAGCAGGTTTAATAAGCTTTTGCTACCCTGCTCACAAGATTAACCCTGTTCAACAATGTGGAGTAAATTATAACTTGGATGCACTCATCATTCTAGTATTAAACAGAAGTAGACCTACGATGTCATTCAGGAACAGGCAACCAGTTGCCCATAGTCCTAGCCATTGGCCATGCTGGCTGGAGTAGCAGGCCAAAATATTTGATTACCTACTCTTGATATCGTCCTTATAGTAGAGTGATGGGAAACATGGCACAGCCAATCATCTATGGATGATGCAAGTTACAATTTAACAACATTTGAATGGCTAGAAACTTCCCTATCACTGTTCTAAGAGTCTGTTGCTTTCATGGTAGTAAATGCTGTTACCAAATTTAAGTTTTCTTTCCGTACACACAAGAAGGGTCTAGGACAGTGGTAGTGAACCTGTGGCACGCGTGCTGCAGCGGGCACGCAAGCCAAGTCACCCCAGCATCGCCCCAGCAGCCAAGCATCGGATAACAGCACACGGCTCATCTGAGCTTTTCCAAATATATGTATTTGCTTGGACTGGCTGTGAATTTTAACACATTCATTTTTATTAACACAAGATTTTAGTTTTGAGTTTTCTTATGAAAAATTGAAATTTAATATCTAAGATTTAGCAAAGAGATGTTCTAATTAAGAGACTGAGATTCTTTTAATGTTGTGCTGTCCCCCTGGCATATTTGAATCTGCAGCATCATATTTAGTTGTTTTTTCTAAACGAAAACCTCAGTATTCATGTTTTATTGCACTGTTGGCACTTTGCGATAAATAAGTGGGTTTTGGGTTGCAGTTTGGGTACTCGATCTCTAAAAGGTTCGCCATCACTGGTCTAGGACCCTCCAACAACAACAACAACAACAGAATCCCCTGAAGTTGAAGGCTTACATTTATTCCATGCACAGTACTAGGTGTGCAGTGGCCATCTGCTCTGTTATTATGCTTTACAGCTTGCACTTCATCTTGATAAAAAATGGAGAAGAGGAAGGAAGGAGGCTGTGGTACCATATAGTTGCAGTAGAGGTGTTACCACCAGCTTCCTTCCCTCTCCACCTCGGGCATGCCCTTTATCCTCTTCTTCAAGCTGCTTTCAATCTTTAGAGAGGCAACTAGCATGGCTGTGAGGAGCATGAGGCTGGAGCCTCAGGGCTGGGATTCTGAATAAGCTGATGACTTTCCCCCAACAATGTCATCAGGCCACTGTGTTGCACCCTTAAAGTCTTGATTAAAAAGCAATCTCAGTTGTTACAATGTTAATGCAGGAGATTTTTCAGATGATGGAAAAACATGCATTTTAGCCTTTCCCCATATTTCTGGTGCATCAAAATACCTCGTCATATATTTCATGGTTTAGGTAGAGAATCTGAAACTCTTTGCTCATAATTTTATGAAACCTGATTGTTTATTTCTTTGATGGTCCATCTTCTCTTCTATTGTTGTTATTGATTTCACAATTTTCATTCCCTCCAACTTAATTTTGTTTTGTTTCTTACTTTCTTCTAATTTATCTAGTTTTTAGTACCTTTCAATAATCCATGCATCAATTTTTATGCTTTTTCAATGATATTTCTGTATTTATTTCCTTATTTGATATCCATCTCCTTTGACCCTCTTAAAAAAAACAACAACACAAAACTTACAGGACTGTGCCACTGAAATGAAGTTATTTAGCCTGTTTTCTTTTGTTGTGGTTTTTTTGTATCTGTGCTATTTCCTAGGAAATATTTTATCAGAAAAGGCAGTTATCAAAACTTGTTTATTGAGATATTCGATAAATTTCTCAAAACATAGAAACAGAGCGAGTCAGAAGGGGCCTCCCGGGCCATCTAGTCTGACCTCCAGCACCTGCCGGCTCCACTCACGACATGCCCACCATGTGCACGTCCAGCCTATCCTTGAACACCTGCACCAATGGGGCCTCAACGACCTCTCGTGAAAGCTCATTCCACACCCTTGGGGTCCTAACTGTCAAGAAATGCTTCCTGGCATCCAAATGGAACCTTGGCTCCCTGAACTTTGCTCCATTGGAGCACATCCTGCCTTCCTCTGCAGGGGAGAAAAGGTCTCTACCCATCTCCATGTGACATCCCCTCACATACCTGTATGTTGCCAACATATCCCCTCTGAGCCTCCTCTTCTCCAGGCTGAAGAGACCCAGTTCCCTCAGTCTCGCCTCATACCCCATCCCCTGCAAACCGGCCACCAACCTTGTGGCCCTACGCTGCACTGACTAACCTGGCTATATCCTTTCTGTAATGAGGGGCCCAAAACTGAGCACAATACTCCAGTTGCGGGTGCACCAGAGTCATATAGAGTGGTAGTAATACCTCTCTTGATCTAGAAGCCACACTTCTGGGTATGCAACCAAGGGTGGCGTTCGTCCTCTTGACCACCGCATCACACTGCTGACTCATGTTTAGCCTGCAGTCCACCAGTACCCCGAGGTCCCTTTCACAAGTGCTGCTCTCCAGCCACTTGTCACCTAACCTGTACTTATGACAGCTATTCCTATGCCCCAAGTGCAAGACCTTGCGCTTATCCATATTGAACGCCATCCTGTTGTCTCCTGCCCACTTCCATAGTCTGTCCAGATCCTTTTGGATCTGGAATACCTGCTCCTCAGTTGTGGCCACTGCTCCAATTTTAGTGTCTTCTGCGAATTTGATCAGCAGACTGTTCACCCCTTCTTCCATGATATTAATGAAAAGATTAAACAGGATTGGCCCCAGGACACAGCCCTGGGGGACCCCGCTTGTCACTGGCCACCATCCCGATGATTCCCCACTAATGGTTACCTTCTGCTTTCGGTCAGTCAACCATGCCCTAATCCACCGGACAGTGTTTTGGTGTATCCCAAAACTCCTCAGGTTCTCCACCAGGATATCATGGGTCACTTTGTCAAAGGCCTTGCTGAAATCCAGGTATACCACATCCACTGCATCCCCTCCATCTAGCCATCTCAAAACCTTGTCATAGAATTCCACAAGATTTGTCTGGCAGGACCTGTTTTTGCGGAAGCCGTGTTGTGTGGCTGTCAGCTTCCCTTCCCTGTCTGGCATCACTAGATCTCTCTCTATTATGAGCCTTTCCATTGTTTTTCCTACAATGGACGTAAGGCTAACAGGTCTATAATTCCCCATGTCCCTTCTACCACCCTTTTTGAAAATTGGGACCACTTACGCCACCCTCCAGTCTTCTTGAATTTCACCCGTACTCCACGAGGCCTCAAAAATGGAGGCCAGCAGGTGTGAGAGAACCCCTGCCAACTCTCTAAGTACTCTCGGCTGTAACCCGTCAGGGCCTGGCGCCTTTTGTCTATTTGCCCCAGTACCCATTTCCTGCATAGATTCCTCTTTTGTCTAATCCCTCTAATCACCTCCTTTCGCATCCATGGCAGCACTCTCCTCTGCCTCCCCACCTTACTGACTACAGGTATCATCAAGGCTTGCGCCTCCAAAACCTCCCTTTTGAGTGCCATCCACCCCTCCTCAACTCACTTACCTTCCAGTAAACTATCCCAGGAGACTTTCCCTAGTCTGGCCTTCAGTTGGCCAAAGTTGGCCCTCTTGAAGTCCCAGCTTCTAGTGCTCAGCCTGTTGCATGTCCCCAGTCCCCTGATCTCAAAGCAAAGTATGGAGTGATCACTCACATCCAGAGGTCCCCTAATCTGTACTTCATCTATCAGCTCCTCCCTATTGGTCAAGACCAAGACAAGGATGTTTCCCCTCCTCGTTGCCTCTCGGACTCTCTGTGTGAAAAATCCTCCCTCTATATCTTCTAGGAAGCGACATGACCTGGCTGTCACCTCCGAGTGAGTCTCCCAACTAATATCCGGAGATTGAAATCTCCAATAATTACTGTGTCTCTCCCCCTAGATATCCTTAGAATCTGGCCTGTCAGGACATCATCCAGGGTCTCAAGGTGACCTGGAGGGCGATAACATACCCCCACTCTCAGATCTCTTTCCCTATCAAAACTCCTAAGTTTCACCCAGA